ATGTATGTGCTGTTAGGATGTGTTTCTGGGGCTCTCTGACAGGTGGATAGGCCTAGTTACAAGAGAAACTCTGGCGAAATGTTTGGAGATTTTGGGAGTTAGTCAAATTTGGGGCTGCCCGAAAGTGGTATGAAACAAACTGAGTTACATAAGATGCTAATGACGGAGTTTTACCCTCATTCAAGGACTGCTACCAATTGAGGATGTGTTAAAATATGGGCTGTGCATTAATAATGTTTCGACCTTAAGTCAAGTTCAAATGAAGGCTATTATGCCAAATTTTGTGAAATATCTCTATGTGCATTAGACTCTAAATTGCTCACATGTGTACTACACACTTTGATTTGAATTGTGTTTGTTGTTGATGATGAGGATGATATTTGAAATTGATAATGTGAGCATGAAATACTGAATATGGCCAACGTGCCAAGAATGATCTTATAATTATGGCCACTAGTGCTAATGAAATGAAAGATGTGAAAGTATTATGAAATGCGGTGATTGATATAAAAAGGTGAGGTCTCAAATAAGACGGCCTAGTCGATCGGGTCGTGATTGGACACCATACCGCACACATGGTGGTGATTGTGCTGGAAATTGTAATTGAAATGGTAATTGTGGTTGATGTCCCTAATGGATAGCCTAGCCGATCGGGTCATGATCGGACTCCGTGTTAAAGATGGTGGTATTGATATTGAGAAAAATTGTGGTTGATGCCTCTAATTAGATGACCTAGCCGGTCGGGTCATGATCGGACTTCGTGCTGAGAGTACGATGGTACTGGTTTTGTGAATAATGGTATTGTGGATAATGGTATATCGATAATAAAAATCTCTCAATGTGAGATGTGGAAATTAATTTGAACATTATTTTGATCCTAAATTGAGGTTTGATGTTGATTAAGTCTTTCATTGATATTATGATAATCTTATTTGTATTATTTGTCATTCTATTGAGGGGGTGTTTAATTATACATACTAGTGCTATTTGATGGTACTAAGGTCCCTTTTGTCGGGGGCGCTGCATCTTTAAATGGATGCAGGTGGTTCCACAGCAGGAGATATTGATCATTGATAGTAGTGCACCTTCTTCCTAGCTGACTTGGTGAGCCCCACTTCATTCCGGGGTCATAAATCTTTTGTACTTTGTGTATTCTATTTAAGGTATAGCCGGGGCCTTGTTGCCGGCATTATCATTGCGCTCTTCTTTATCTATAGAGGCTCCGTAGATATAGTGTGGGTTATGTATTGGTGCTGGGGAAAGACAAACTATGTTATGTTGTGGATGTATTACTTGTCCATTTGAGACTTTAAAAATGATGAAACTATTGGAAATGAATTGGTATTGTAGACATGAACACATTTTCGTCTAATTAATGATAATATGTATTTTCTCTATTCATGGATGAATTTGGGTAGAATGAAATCTAACAGGATTGCTCGGTTGGGTTCACTCGGTTGAGTGTCGGTCGTGTTCCTCGGTTTTGGGGCGTGACAAGCTGAAACCATCCTTATCGATGATTTTGTATGCGCCACTTGAATAGGATTCCTTCATAATATATGGCCCATCCCATTTTGAGCTAAACTTGTCACCTATGCGTTTGTTGAGGATTATGGGTCGTCAAACAGCTAGGACTAAGTCTCCCACTTGGAATGATCGTGGCCGCACTTTCTTGTTGAAGGCTCTAGCTAGTCGAGCTTGATAGCACTTTAATTTTTGTTGCGCTTTCAATCTTTTCTCATCCAAAGCCTCTAACTCTGCAAGGTGAAGTTGAGCACTCTCTTCAGATGTGATTCCTTCTTGGATTGCGATTCGCAGTGATGGAATTTGTTGCTCTAGTGGAAGGACTTCTTCTACGCCATACACCAAAGAGTAAGGAGTTGATTGTGTAGCAGTTCTGAAGGTTGTCCGGTATGCCCACAAAGCCTTTTCTCATGCCAGTCTCTCATGTTCTTTGCAACAACTTTCTTCAAAAGGTTACCAAGCGTCTTATTAAAAGCTTTAGCAAGGCCGTTGGCAGGTGCATTATACATTGAAGACTTATGTTGCTTGAAACCGAACTTCTCGCACAGACTCCTTACGAACTTGTTGTCAAATGGCATTCCATTATCAGTGATTATGTATCTTGGTATGCTATACCTAAAATTTATATTCGACTTGATAAAATTGGCAACAGTTTCCTTTTTTACTTCCTTGAGTGGAGCAGATTCAGCCCATCTAGAGAAGTAGTCTGTGCCAGCCAATATGTACATCTGTCCCTTTGATGACTTTGGAAGCGGTCCAACAACGTCAAGTCCCCATGCATCAAAAGTCCATTAAGATACATTTGGATGAAGAAGCTCCAGAGGTTGGTGGATATATTTGGCATGGACTTGACACACTTGACATCTTTTGGCATGCTCCATGCAATCCTTCACCATTGTCGGCCAGTAGTAGCCCATCCTCTTGATGCAAAAATGGAGCTTAGGACTAGATTGGTGTGCTCCACATGAGCCATAATGTGATTCTTCCATCGCTTGGAGGGCTTTTTCTTTGTCAAGACATCGCAAGAATAGTCCTTCAAATGAGCGACGAAATAATGTCCCCTTATAGAAGATGAATCGTGGTGCCCTTCGCTTGATGTCTGTTCTTTGTCACGGATCCTTGGATAACTTTCCATGTTCAAGGTACTCTATCAGTGGTTGCCTCCAATCTTCTTCTTCAATCACCCGAATGGACGTATGATGTCTTTCGTTGATTTGAAGATCAAGAAGTATCGGAATGACCCATCGATGACAAACATATACCTTTGTTGTCTCATTCTCTCCAAGTTCCATCGTCGTGGCCAAGTTTTCCAAAGCATTAGCCATGCAATTTTCTTCTCTTGGGACGTGGTTTAAGAACACTTGGTTGAATCTTCCAAGTAAACCAGAAGCATATTGATGGTATGGCAAGAGATCTTACTTCTTTACCTCGTAACTACCCAAAAGTTGGTTAATGATCAGCTTAGAGTCTACGAAGATCTCCAACTATAGAATTTTTATGTCTAATGACATTTCGAGACCGACAATCAAAGCTTGGTACTCTGCGGCATTGTTGGAGCATGTTTCACCTAAAACAAAGGGGAATGGCAACACTTGTCTTTCTGGAGAGATCAACACAACACCGGGGGGCCACCGTTACGAGATGCAAATCCATCAAAGAACATTATCCTTGATGTTGATTCTTCAATGAACAAAACGTCTTCATCTAGAAACTCATCAGAAAGCTCCCATTCCGGTGGAAGAGGGTGATCAGCTAGAAAATTATCTAGTGCTTATCCTTTCAATGCCTTTTGAGATGTGTGCGTGATCTCATATTAGTTAAACAACATGGACCATCTTGCTAGGCATCCAGAAAGAACAGGTCGAGTCATCACGAACTTCACGGGATCTGCTCGAGAGATGAGTTCAAAATAATTCCTTAGCTTCTTTATCACATAAAGTAATGCTAAGCATATTTTCTCAACATGTGTATAGTTCAACTCAGCTCCTAAAAGTGGTAAAGTAGACTTTCGTCGTGCCACGACGTTAAATGCGGTGCTTGGTGGGAGGCAGCCCATCATTTTCAACTTTTTAGTCATTTTTAACATTTTCATTTTGTTTTATAATTTTTTCTTTTTATAATAGTTTGTTTTATTATTTTTTATCAATATACCAAGTTGTAGGAAGTGTGAAAGTTTTGGGACAACAAGTAAGGAGATTGAGCAAAGAACATTATCCCTGGTGGCGATTCTTCAATGAACAAAACTTCTTCATCTGGAAACTCATCAGAAAGCTCATATTCCGCCGGAAGAGGGTGATCAGCTAGAAAATTGGCTAGTGTTTGACCTTTCATAGCCTTTTGAAGTGTGTACGTGATCTCATATTGGTTAAACAATATGGACCATCTTTCTAGGCATCCAGAAAGAACATGTCGAGTCATCACGAACTTCACAGGATCTACTCGAGAGATGAGTTTGATGGTGTATGCCTCAAAATAATGCCTTAGCTTCTTTATCGCATAAAGTAACGCTAAGCATATTTTCTCAACAGGTGTATAGTTCAACTCAGCTCCTATCAGAGTTCGACTGAGGTAGTACAAGGCTTGTTCCTTTCCTTCCTCATTCTCTTGAGCAATCAATGCTCCAAGTGAACGTTCATGTGCCTCGATGTGGAGTATCAATGGCTTCCCAAGAATTGGCGCCCCTAACACAGGTGAATTCGGCAAGTATATTTTGATGCTTTCAAAAGAATTTTGACATGACTGGTCCCAATGAAAAGGTATATCCTTCCTCAATAGATGATTGAACGGTTGACACCGCCCGACCAAATTAGTGATGAACCTCCGGATGAATGCTAAGTTTCCTTGTAGACTTCAAATTTCCCTTAAGTTCTTTGGCTAGGTCATTTTCTGAATGGCGTCAATCTTTGCGGGATCAACTTCAATTCCACGATGACTCACAATGAATCCAAGAAACTTTCCTAAGGTAACTCCAAATTCACACTTGAGTGAATTCATCTTTAGGTCGAATTTCTTAACCCTTCAAAAACAATGCGAAGGTCTTCAAGGCGGTAACGCCTACTCTTCGTCTCCGCCACCAAGTCATCGACATAGCATTCAACCCTCTTATGAAACATGTCATCAAAGATGTTTTGTATCGCGCGTTGGTAGGTGGCACCAACATTCTTCAGACCGAAGGGGATCAATTTGTAGCAGTATATCCCTTTTGGAGTTCGAAAAGCATTACACTCTTCATCTTTTGGAGATATTCTGATTTGATTGTATCCGGAGGAACCATCCATGAATAAACATAGCTTCATCCCATGTTGTAGCATCAACCATAAGTTTAATAATTTGTAGCGGAAAGTCATCTTTCGGGCATGCCTTGTTTAGGTCTCGAAAGTCAACACAAACACGTATTTGACCATTCTTCTTCTTGACAGGTACAATATTAGATATCCATGATGGGTACTTCACCTCTCGAATAAATCTCTCCTCGATGAGCTTGTTGACTTCGACTTCAATTTGTCGTACTATCTCTAGTCGAAACATGCATTGTGACTACTTCACAGGGCGTTCTCCACTTTTGATCCCTAAATGATGAATGGCTACCTTAGGACTTAGTCCATGCATTTCTTTATACGAACAAGAGAATACATCTTTGTACTCGGTCAATAACTTGGAGTACTCCTCCTCCTCCTGAGGCATAATAAGCGCACTAATGAAGGTGGGCGTGGATCTTCCGGAGTGCCTAAATTGAGTTCCTTAAGCTCATCCACAGTTGATTGCCCGCCATCTTCTAGTTGAGGGGGAGCCTCGTGTACTTCATCATCAACGGCAAGGCATGGGCTATCTTCCACAGTTTTGTGATAAGATGTTTCCACAAAGTCTGACTTTTCTCTTTGACTTCCTTGGATGGTCGGCATGGCTTCTTTTTCTTTCTCTACCTCTTTACGAGGATGGAAAGTATAATTAATGGTTCTCCTTTGCACTTTCAGTGGACCATCTATGGATATTGACAAAATATACTTCCTCTTCATATGTGATGGGAAAGCACTACAGATTTCTTTGTCAGCAACAACTTCAAAATGACCCCACTCCACATGGCCTTGCTCCTTATGTTTTGGCAATGTCTTTCTAGATGGTGACTTCCTTGTGGTTCTCAGGCGACAAAATACGGAGGTCTTTGAGGTTATGGAAACTTCCCTTAGATGTTTGGAAGATACACGTTCACCTTTGTGACTTAGCCTTTCAAACACCAAGACCCGAGGGATTGAGCCTCTAATGCGATCAAACACTGAAGCCCGTTGTTTTATTTTCTTGCCCTTAACTTCCTCCATCTCCTCTACCGAGGTCTGTTGTGATGAATCTATCTCTTTGCTTCTCTTAGATGAAATTCGAAGAGGCTCTGCCAAAATAAATTCCAACCCAAACTTTGTAGTGGCGACGTAGTGCCTTTGCTTTCTCAACTTCATTTGGGACTCATTGATCCCATGTATCTTTTCACCAGTGACTTCGTCTTTGAGTTCTCCTAGACTTGATGGATTGGAGAAGTCGTAACCAGACTTTTCAAGCAGTATGAAGGCCTTAGGATCAAAGTGACATTTTACTTTATCAGCTTGGATATTGCCTTTAGCAGACTCACAAGTCATGGATGGGATTTGTGCAACTGGGACGGTCATATGCTCCTTCAAATCTTGTATCGCTATACGACTCATCTTCTTATTTGGAGTACATTCCTATAACAAAGGGTGCCCTTTCTTTTGATGCTCACGCGGAACATAGCAAAAAACTGGATGCTCATTATTAGTCTTTGTTTATATATCATCTTCAGATAGACTTCTTCAGTTCTCTTCTAAGACAGATTAGCGGTAGTCCATTGAGCCTTATTTTCTTCTTCTGAATTGACATCACCTTCGTCGACTGATGATGGTTTCTCCACACCCGGTTCACAAGAATCTAGGTAGAATTTTGCATCTGCAAAGTATGACTCTGTCTCAGTGAAAGGATTGATGTCTGCATCAATTTTGACTATCTCTCCATCCCTTCTGTACATCAGACATTGATGCAAAGTAGACGATACCACTCCATTCTCATGAATCCAAGGACGCCCAAGCAGCAAGTTGTATGATGTTTTAGCATCTATGATGTGAATCGGGGTGTTTGACTTCATCTCACCAAAGTATAATCCTACGCGGATCATACATATGGCTCGTTGTCCTCCTTGGTTGAAACCTTGGATTGTTAGGTTACTTTTGGATAGCTCATCGATAGAGATCCCAAGCTTTTTTAGCACCATATTTGGCATGATATTGACAGTCGAACCATCATCAACAAGTATGCGATTGAGATGTTGTTCTCGAATGGCCCTTACAACAAACAAAGGTCTGTTATGTGGCTTAGAACCCAGCAGCAGGTCATCATATGTGAAGGAAATTGTTGCAACATATGACAACTTTTTTGTCATCACGATGTTCTTGTGGTTTCATTGGATCAAGCTCACCATTGCTTTCCTCTGTTTCATCAGTACTAGAAATTACATAAGTTGCACCAATATGACCTCCATGAAGGAATTTTCCAGGAAAGAATTCATGAATATGATGGGCTTGCGGAACTTCGGTGATAAGGCACTGTTAATCTTCTTGCTAATAGAAGATTTCATAATTATTGATGGTTGTAGCTTATCCATATTGTTCATCATCGCTCTTGTCTTAGGAATTCGTAGCCTCAAAACTGCCTTATGTTTTCGCTTCTTGCGAGTGACTAGAGTCCAACCCTCGTCGTCATTGTCTTTGGAGTGAGTGTCTAGCTCGAGTGAACCTTCAAGAGTGTTCCCTGGAAGATCAACTTCAACAGGCTTGAAACTTCTAAATTGTAAGAAGGCATTGCTTGACATGTTCTGCAACGTTGAACGCTTCTTTTCCTTGGGCGCTACACTTGCATGGTTTGCTTCTGCTGTTTCATCCATATCTATGATGATTTTCCCTTCACTTACAAGATCCATGATTTTCTCCTTTAAGACGAAGCATTTCTCTGTAGGGTTAAGACGAAGCATTTCTCTGTAGGGTGGCTAATGACGCGATGAAACTTGCAGTATTTCGGATCGCCAACTTTACCAATTTTCTCAGGCCTTTTTGATTCAGGGAGATCGATGACTTTCTTGGCCAGCAATTCATCAAGGATCGTGGGTACGTCTGAATCTGGAAACGGATAAACCTTCGCCTCTAATTCCTTCAAGGTTGGACAACGTTTCTCCTCTTTAGGATATTGACTCGGGGTCTTATCCTCCTTCACATTTTTCTTAGTCGTGACTTTCACAAAAGTTGCTTTCACCGCCATAGATTCTTTGGTTTGGTTCCTAGGTGCAATATTTTTCTTAGTTAAATACGACAGTTATATACAACTGAAAAATTATTCTAATTAACTGGGTTGATAATGAGGCATGTTAGAATTGATTTTGTTGAGTTATATTAGGAGTGTATCACGCTAATTGATATTATTTTCGTTATTAGACAGCTGGACTTACCTATTTTTAAGGTAATTGTTGTTACTGTATTCATGAATACATGACACGAATACATGTGAATACAGTCGCATACAGATGTAACCCAATGTTTTTAGGCTTTTATGCGACTTTTGCTGCTGTATTTATGAATATAATAGCGCGTATACAGCGAATACACTACCATAACAACTGAATAGTAGTTATAGGAAATAATTATATATATCGTAGCTATCGAAAGTTAATATACACTAAACAATAGTAGTTTCTAAAAACTCTGTTTTATTTTTATTTTTCTCCTTTTGCTAGAAGAGTACTGTTTTGTGGAAAATAGCTAAAAGGACAAGGGGAAAAGATTGTGGTCCAATTAGCAAGCAAATAACACCTAAATCATCAAGCGGGTCGGGTGCAGCTCAATAGAGAAGAGACCATCAAAGCAGAAAAGCTTCAGTTCGATGCATTCTTCCTGGTAAAGTTTTAATTTTTCGTTTAATTCACTCTCCTAAAATTCTGGGTTTTGCTTTTTGTAACTTCACTAGTTTGTTTGACTCTTTGATTTGTCATTTGAATTCTTAGAGTTAAATGCAGAATAAAATAAAGGTTTTAGGTTCGAATTCTTCGAGACTTTTTCTGTTTGCTACTACATTAACTTTTGAATATCAATGAGGTTTGAAATGAACAAATAAAAAATTCTTCTTGTTTTAAGAGTAACTATAATATAATTTGATGTTGTTGGAAGGTTCAGTATTTTGGGGAAATTTTAACCTTCCAGTAACTTTTGCGTAGATTGTATTTGTGTTAGGAAATCTCTTAAATAAAATATGTAATTGCGTACTCGTAGTAACTAAGACGAGCTATGAGTTCAATGACAAGTTTAGTACCCATAAACTTCAAATCCTGGCTTCGCCTTTCACTTGTGAAAGTTATCTTTCAGGTTATGTTGTGCGGACTCTCCAAAATGCTGATGCACCTGTGTCGAATCCTTAAAAAATGCACTGTTTTTGGAGGATCCGACACGCACTCAGCAATATTTTCGGAGAGTCCGAGCAGTATAGCTTTCAGGTTATTGTCTGTACATCATAAATAAAACCAAAAGAGTAATCTACTCCCCTTTTTGATAAAGAATTCGAAATTTAATTTTAAGTTTCATAGTCGCTGCCCAAAAACTTGTACTGTATGCCAAAGATACGTCCTTTGTTAACCAACCAAATTTTTGCTGCTGTATTTTGGAGAGTGAAGGAGACTAGGATAAAGGTATTCTCAGATGTGCAACTCTGATAAAATTGATCGATGCAACCCATAACATCCTTTTTTCTTTTACTTCCCAACAGTGATAAAAGAAAGGCCATTCGGTCCAGGGGTGTTATCTCCAGAACATTTTTTTACTGCGTTCTCCACCTCTTTCTCATCAAAAGGCCGTTCCATCGCATTCCTTCTCCGAGCATAATTAACATTTGAGGTCTATTATCTGTGCACAAAAAGATTGCCACGCCATTCTAAACCAATAGCTTAGGCCAAATGCATTGTTCGTTCATGTGCCATTCCTTGGGAAAATATGCTGATTACTATCCATTGCTTCACTTTCTTAAGTGGATATAGAATTTGTTGAGCTCTTCTTCTCTGTTCTGTTTTCTTTGTATTGTCTTTTAAGCTACTAAAATCATGAATGAACACATTTCCAAAGGTCTTTCTTTGGCTTCAACCAGTAATCAAGTGAAGTTTTGTCAATATCATGTAGTTCGTTTTCACGTCACCCACCAATTTGGAGATCCTCAGGTCCTTTCTAGATCTTGCCCACATGTCGTTGGTTCCAGTACTATTACAGATCTGCAGCAGTGGAAGCTAAATTGAGGGTTTTCACTCATGATGAGAATGATCTAATTAACTTGGTTGAAAGAGGTTTCCCTTGGATGAAAAGTGCTTCCATAGTATAAATTTGTTTGTTGAACACATCAGCAGTAAGCACATTGTATAAGATGTATGAAGCAACTAAATTATATTAAGGCGTGATAATGAATAGTTCAAACTTTTTCGTGTACTATTTAAAATTTAGCTTTAAGGCTAATGGAAAATTGGGAATGTTATGGTATTTGCTCTGTATTAATCATCTGTACTTCTTAGAAAATAGATGGGAGTACTCAATGTGGCTATATAACCTGTAATCGCCTCAGGTTAAGGTAGTGGGTTCTCAAAGCATACAGTATAAGAGATGTAAAGAACCAAAACTTTTATCTGTCTGAATTGTTTGATCTGTAACATATTTTCATCACAATCAATCATCATAAATCTTAACTTACACCTTTGAGTTAATATCTGTTTCATAGTATGCTTTACTAGATTCAGGTTCAATGCGTGAATATTGATATGAAACTGATGAAAGACTTGTAATCAGCACTCTTAACGCAGTGTTTTGATATTGTAGGATAAATCACAAAATATAACATAGAGAAAATTATGTAGATGTTATCTACTAATCGTTTCTTTGTCAAAGCAGAGGTATATCAAAGAATGTTATTTCTTTTATTGTGTGTACACATAATTATCGGAAACAGCTTCTCTACCTTCATGGTAGGGGTAAGTTTTGCGTATACACTACCCTCCCCAGACCCCCACATGTGGGATTATATTGGGTTTGTTGTTGTTGTGTACCCATAGTTGTAGGTGAAAAGAGTACAACCCAAGGATTTGTCCGTCTTATCTTCTGATGTCAGCGCTAGATATGGCATTTGGAAATCGTTCTTCCAAGCTGTAAAACTTGAATTCGATAAATTGATAAAGATTCAAAATGTCTTAATCAAATTGATTACAATGCAACGGTTTATGAAATAAAATCATTGGTGTAATTAGTAGTGACCAAAGGAGGAAGCATTTGTCCCCTGCATCACTTAGCAGCCTGAACGTAAACCTATTATTCGTGCCATCTTTGATGTCTCTTAACCTCTGTGAATATTGTTCGAGTGACCTTTGAACTGTTATGTATAGACATGAATTCTTTTAGTTCTCTGGAAAATAGTTTTTTGCTTTAAAATTATAGCTGCTTTAAGGAAGAATCTAATAAGATGCTGCATTGTAATTTTTTTTATAGGAAATGTAAATTGTAACTGAACTTTAATGGTTTTTATTTCCTGGAAAATTATTTTGGCTCTCGCTTATTCCTCGTCTTTTTCTTTCTCCCACTTATTCAGATACTTGAACATCCTGCTTTATCTCACTTGATGTCTCGCAAGCGCAATGTCATTGTTGCCACAGGCTTGCTAGCCTTTGCAGCTGCTGGCTTATCCTTCCCATTTTACATGGCGTAAGTAAAATTTAGTTGCTAGTGGAAAATAAAGAGGTGATCTTTCATAGTATTGCTTAATTGAAAGTTTCATGGTTTCAATTCAGGTCAAGATCATCAAGGGCAACTCCAGTGATTGATTCATCAAAGCCATTACCACCCCAGGCGACTTTTCGTGGGCCTTACATCAACACTGGATCACGTGATATTGGACCTGATCATCAAACTTACACTAAGAAATAAATCCTGCTTAATTAGAATTTAGTATGCTAGCTATTGGAGTTGATAAGATTTTTTCTCTGTTTCCATGTTCTGTATTTTGTGAAAGGAGATAAATAATGTCCGTCTGTTGAAACTGCGTTACTCTCCTTCTGTTCTGGAGAGAAGCTACTGTGATGTCGATATTCCCTCTTAATCAGCTCGGATTGATGAAGAACATTAGCATGTTTGAGAATGATTCTTTTAGGGATAGTCGAGGAGCATCCCAGGTGTAGTGGACACCACTGTCATAAAAAAGAAAAAGAGCAACCAGTTCATAATATCCTTTCACACATATAGTTGTGTTGTTGCCTTTTCAGTGAAGTTTTCGTTCAGAAACAGCTCTCTGTAATATGCAGCTTGCAAGAACAGCAGAAAAATGCCTTGGAACTGTCTAACCATATATAATGCTTACTCTTCATTTCAACAAGTAATTCTCTACTGAATCAGATTATCTGTGAGCCAATAGTGTTTAGCATCTCTTTCCAGTTGTGGTTATGAGCTGAGGGTCTACCGGAAACAGTCTCTCTTGGGTAAGGTCTGCGTATTATCCTTCCCAAATTCTACTTGTGATAATATTACCTGGGTTTGTTATTATTGTTGTTGTTCAAGTTGTGAACGCAATTTATAAAGATGTAAATGTTATTTTAATACTTGGCATTTGTCGTATTGTCAAAGAGTAGAAGCAAAGTGTAATGTGCGTGTTTTCTAGGAACATTATAAGTAGAAGCTGAACGAGAACATGGGATCCTTTTACTTCTTTTTGTGAACTTTCTGATGTCGAAGCTAATTGCAGTTATAAATTAATCAAATTATGGAAAAAAGAAACTTGATGAGAAGTGGATTAACAGTTGAAAGTACTCCAATATAGTACAAAATAAAAAATGATAAAAAACACATTAACAAATGGGAAGTTAAAGAGAAGTGCTTCCAGTAATTGAAAATAACAGTAGTATAAAAATCGAGAAATGTAAAAACCAGATAGTTTCTTGCCTCAAGGCTTAAGGAAAAGAACAGTGCTATATCGTGTTGGCGGTGACAAAATGATTAAAAATTAATAATTATCTATTTATATTTTTTTGTTCATATTCGTGTCGACCCGCCCGTTCGACACCCCTAATCGTAACCATCAAGAGCACCGTGGACGTGATCATGTACGTAGATTGGTCTTCAACCTTGACTGTTGAGTCGTTGACAATTAACTATTCATCTCCACTAAACTTTTACAGTTTACACTCTTCTTCTTCTTATGTGAGTCCGGAACCAAAATAATGTATTTTTGAACTTAAGACAAAAAAATAGGTGGAAAAAAAAGTTAGTGACCAAAATACATATAGCGCCCTTTTAAAGGGCGTCATACCTTAACGGCCGTTTGCCCGTTAAGGTATAGTGCCCTTTAAAAGGGTGTTACACTTGAATTTGAAAAGACGGGTAAGTATAGCGTCGTTTATTAAGAAACGCCTTAATAAACAGCGTAGTATAAGCGGCGTTATACCTACATAATAAATCATCCCCTTCCCTTCCCCACCAAACCAGAACTCCCCTCCTTCCCCCCCCCAAATTAAAACTTTAAAAAAATAGGCGGTCCCCCCATTAACGACCAAAAAATCTCGAGTGGACCCCACACGTCCCAAAAAAAGAAAAGATTCTCGGTCACACATCCTAGCTAAGGCGTTCTCTCGTTGTAGGTTGCTCGTTTTGGCTCTAAATCGCCAAATCTTCAACTTTCCAAAAATCTTAAATCGAGATATTCCGACTTAGTTTTTATTGAAACTCGTATAAAAAATGCATATTAGTTATTTTTAATATGTTATATGTTATTTTGTGATTGTTTTGCGATTTAATTATTTTGTTATTTTTATCCGGACTATGATATTAGTGTGCTAAAAAAAATTAGTAAAAATAGAGAAATTATTATTAGTTGTTAAAAAAATATTAATAAATTACTTTTTACTGTGGTATATGTATTTTCGTGAATATTTTGTGGTTAAATTCATTTGTTATTTTTATCTTGTTTAGATTATTTATTTGCTTAAAGACTAGTAAAATAGATAAATTGTTACTTTAGTTCCCTCTAGTGGTATCTTGTGGCCTAATGTAGTGCTTGTATTTGTAATGTAGTGCCCTTTTAGCGTAGTAAAATATAGTGCTCTTTAGCGCAGTATCCTTGTAGTTATTGAAATTAATCATTTAAGTATCTATTATACCCAAAAATACGTCAAAATAACTGATAGTTCAAACACAAACTATGTCCAATTCTAGTCAACGATCGTAAGAAAATAAAAATAACAATATTTTTCGGATATCTTGGTGTTACTGGGCCTCAAATATCGAGCTCGAAAACCATGTGTGAATATTTAATAATTAAATCTTGTATAATTATGAAAATTAACTATTTAATTTTATTATAGTAAAAAATAAGTGATTCATAAACAAAAATATATAATAATAAAACTAACATATAAATTAATAAAACTAACATATACAATATTAAACTAACATATAAATAATAAACTAACATTTAAAATAACAGACATGTTGAGTGATAAATCGAGAAAATTTTCTCATCATGAACACAAGAATTCAAGATATCTTGGTGATATTGGGCCTCAAATATCGAGCCTGGAACCCATATATGAATATTTAATAATTAAATATTGTATAATTATGAAAATTATTTATTTATTTTCCAAACAAACATATAAAATAATAAAACTAACATGTAAAATAATAAACTAACATATTAAAGTAAAATAATGTAATTAATCTTGTTTAATTTACAGTAGACGACATGGAGGTTCCGCCTTCGCATCCCGGACCTGCCAGCATGGAGCTACTGTTGTTACAGGGCGATCATAGGTCGTCCCACATATGGGAGGGACAGTTACTGGCCCAGACGTTTCGTGCTAGGAGAGTAGACGACATGTGGGGCTTTCTCAAGGACCACCCTCTCCATCCCCGTATAGTCAGCCACCTCCAGGATACGAATTTTTATAGGATTGTGGAGATCGGCCGGCTGCAGCTCGATTGGTCGTTGATCACGGCCCTGATAAAGCGGTGACGGCCGGAGACGCACACATTTCATTTGCCCATTGGCGAGGCCACCATCACGATGCAGGACGTGGAGGTCATGTATAGGCTGCCCGTTGATGGACACCATGTTGCTCTGTCGCATGCCATGAGAGAACAGACGGGTTTGCAGTACCTGGATATGCTGCAGCGGCTCACCGGTTTACAGCCACCGGAGGAGACTGCATTGGTTAGGGCCAGTCATTTGCAGTTGACGACTGTCCGACAGCATTTGGAGGCATTGCACCCTAACATCACAGACGATACACCAGAGCTTCATATTCACCGGTACACGAGGTTGCTGCTACTCATTATGTTTGGAGGGGTTTTGTTCCCGAACACTTCGGGGAACTTAGTCAGCTTGAGATTTCTTCATCATCTTGAGCAGCTAGATGATTTACCACAGTACAGCTAGGGTGTTGCTGTTCTCGGCTACTTGTACAGGCAGATGTGTCGGGCGAGCATGGGCACCCAGCGTGACGTTGCTGGATTTTTCCCGCTGCTACAGGTGAAAACATATTCGAATACTCTATTCATTATAACATACCCCGTAAAAATATACCTTAAATTTTACGTCCACTTTGTATGTTAGGTTTGGGCCTGGGAGTGGTTCCTGCAATTGCAGCCACCTCTACCACCATTAGCTCCGGGTGCACCACCTCCGTTTCTCCCTCTAGCTAGGAGGTGGGTTGATAGGCGGGGGATATGGACGAGAGTACGAGGCTCAACATAATCTCCCTTTGTGTAGGGATTTGTTGGAGGGCGCACAGGTAAATGTATACCTAAGTTTACTTGGTCTGGCTTCTTATGTGTTGGGTATACTCACTTTTTCTGTTGTTACTTAATAGTTCATTTGGAGGCCATACAGCGACGAGCTAATAGCTGGTTTGCCCGATTATTGCTCGACCGGCCGAATTATGTGGAGCTCTTCCGTCTCGTTGATGTGCCTTGATATTGTGGAGCATCATGCCACCGAGCGAGTACTTAGCCAGTTTGGCCTCCCGCGGCTTGTATTGCCACCGCTCGCCTGGCATATCACACATTACCAGCGGGATGATCGTTCCAGGGTGGACCAGACATATATGGCATGGCTAGAGGCGCAGATCAATACTTGTGACCAGCGACATGACCTCATTCCCCTCCTCCCCACCTGACCGGACGGAGATTGAGCATGATTATATGGGCTGGTACCGCAGAGTTACCCGACTTTTCGTCGGGAATCCCATTTATCGCGCTAGCGGTCGGTATGCTCCATATGTCGGGAGTCACGAGGCACTGGTATGTTATTTGATATACTTACTTATAACGTTAACCTAGCATTCCGTAATTTATATTTTACATGTTGTGCAGGCTATTGGCCTACATCTGTTCCACCAGTTGGGACTGCAGATGCAGCAGCATACCGGCGAGGGAGCAGCCGCTTTGCACGAGTATGGCTGGCAGGTTACCGATCTGGCTTCCCGGACATTGAGGCCAGCCCGAGATGATGAGCGATTAGGATACGAGGTTGAGTATGTGGCGCCAGAGCAGTACTATCGTGGGTCACCGGTGGGGCCGGAACGTGGTCGACGTGGCAGGTGTGCCCCACGAGGTAGGGGTATCCCCAAGGTCGTAGGGTTCGGCGTGGAGGTGGTCCCCAGTGAGGGGGCGTTGAGGCACATGTTGAGGATGTTGGAGTTGATCAGCCGGGTGACCTCCATGAGCCAGACCACTCTCACAGCAGCATGCCGTCATTCAGCCTTCAGCTTCAGCTCACTCTAGGGATTTCGCAGGTGACCCCGTCAACTCCATTGTTGATCACGGGCACGGGCATTATGCGAGAGGATTATTATTAGTATTTTCCTGATATTCTAGGCCCATCGATCGTTGCTGATGATCGACCGACACGAGATGTGGATAGTGGGTGCCGGCTGAGTTATGACTCATCATCGAGGGATGCTGGGGATCTTTCACAGGCGCAGGTATGTTTGTATTACTATTACATTTAAATTTATTTTTATCTCATTTATTAGCCATAAATATCTTTATGTTTTTTTTATTAAGGCTTCATCCTCGCTCGTCACGGAGGCCACCTTATGCGATACTGGCATGGCTGCGACGATGATTATATTTAGAAGCTCGACGAGACCATGATAAGACAATTTACATTTTTGTGACTTAACACGTACATTACAAATATATATATATATATATATTCATAATACTGAAATATCTTATTATTCTGTAGGTTACTGTTGGACAGACGGACTCATCTACCGAGCTTGCCAGCCCTACTGATGATGAGGATGATCCTGATAGCATAGCCGAGCGGGATGGGATGCGCCTCAAGCCAACGGCTGCATTAAAGCATATAGGATGTGGGACGCATTGATTTTTTTTGTATTTTATGTACATATGACATTTAGTAAATAATTGCAACATTTTTTATTGTTTACATTATATGCACATTATGTTTTTATTTCTCCGGTTCTTCGTTATTTTAATACTACAATACAAACACAAACATAACAACTTAACATAATTTAAATTCAGTACAACTAATAAAAATACATGACACAGAAAACATAAAGATAAAATACTAC